AAAAGTTATTTTCACTAAACTTGTTGAGATTACAACATAATTATTCATAATGACACCTATGTGAAGTTAGTATGCTTTAAGCGGTAAAAAAATAGTGATAATCTAATGCGATAAACTTCAACTCATATTTTTTCTGTATGTTAACAATATATAAATTTATTAACAAAATATAAATCAATAAAATATAAACATTACTGAATTAAAAAAATTTAAACTAAAAATACTTCAAATAATGCCTATGCAAAAATCTGCGTACAGAGCAAAGCGACTAGTGTAAACAATACATAGTTTATAGATTATGTACGCTTGCCGGTTTTAACGACAAAACAGTTATTTCAATTGCATTAGTAGAGTAATTGGAAGCTAAAAATTAGAATGGAGACGAAAGAAATTGAAGTTGGAGAAAGAAAGATTATTGTAAAGCTTTGGAAAGAGGGAAAAACTCTACGAGAAATAGGAGCAACTGTAGGCAGACACGTTCCTCTATTCAGAGAGTCATTAATAACTACAAAAACACTAAAATATATTTTAATTTAATAAGTTACCATACGATTTTTATAAAAAATATCTCTATGTCTATTAACGTTAGCCGTAGAAGTCATACCTATGCTTTATAACAACTCATCCGGCGTGATCTGTAAATATAATTCAGTATTTAAGTTTAAATTAATAATAATTGTGTATAACTTACGTCCTCCTCACAGACACGACTTACAAAAATCGTTGGATCTTCAGTTAAAACAGCATCATCCGGAACTGCTCCATCGCATATTTTCCAGTAATAAGGTCCTGACATTATAAAATATTTTTTTAGTTGTTTTGCAAGTGCGGTAGAATTTAAGAGGACTGCTACATCCCTTACTCTTTTGTAGTCCACTACAAACGAAAGAATAAACGATGTGGCAGTCCTCTTAGATTCTACCGTCTTTGGTTGTTTGTGATTTTTATTAATAAACTTACCACAAGCAGAAGTTGAATTTATTACTGTTAAAAAAATAGTAGCAACAAACATCTTCACTTCTATAATATTCTCGTCCAACTACGACGAAATTATATCTGAAAGTTTATTTATACATGTGCGAAAAAAAATGTATCTATGTACCAAGTCACCAAAGTGATTTCAAGAGACACTTCACTGCCTTGGTACATAGATAAATCTTTTTTTCGCACATATACACGGTTTCCTACAAGTAACGGATACATTCGGCAAGATGTTCCCCGACTACATATCATAAATAAATTGTTTTATTTCGGTTTGATAGGATTGTGGAACTTTATTAAATATCCTTGAAGATTAGTTTAGTGTTAGTTCTAGTTCTTATGCTAACTAGCGCTACTTACCACTGTCTCTAGAACTAACATTAGACCTAGAACTAGAAACATTCGGGCTTAGCTGTACGTCTCTGAAGACTGCTAAACCCGAACATTTCTAGTTCTAGGTTTACTGTTAGCTCTAGTTTTAGTTCAATAAAAATATGCAACATAATATCTTATGCTAACTTACTTACTACTGTCTCTAGAACTAACATTACACCTAGATAGTTGTATATGTTTATTGAGCTATAACGGACACTGATAGACTTTTTTTAGGACTGTATGTAGACTTTTTTGAGTTAAAGATATGATTGTTTTGTGTTCCCCTTGATTAATAACTTATATAGTTTTTATGTAAAATATGGAAATAATATGGACTTCTTACATGTTTTGTTAAAAAATTTCATTGAATTACATTTGGGGAGCTGAGATATTATCATTTTCCGGGCTGTATGTAGACTTTATTGTATCACTATATATGTACAAGTACTTATGTATAGTCTTCCACACGGCGATCGGTTTTTATGACTCTGTTTCACTTTCCTACTATAGTTGTAAAACTAACAAAGACGGGGTTGTAACAGGTAGTTCCCCATTGTAAAATGCTGGGATTCCTCACTCAGGGCGGCATTAAGCACCACACTTTACTGGCAAATTGTAGAAAAATAATAGGGTCATATATAAATACTCATTATTCTCTTATTTGTTGTGTTTCTAATATTAAGTACATATTTTTTCTAAGAAATGTTTTGAGGAGGCATGCATTGTCTACTTACAAAAGAGGGCGGAGAATAATTAGATTCTTTAAAATTTTGTTATTGTATTATTTAGACATTCCTAAAAGTAATATTTTTTTCTAAGACTTTTATACTAGTTTTTATAATTAAATTTTAGTTGTTATAACTAAACTTTGGTTATTTATTAAATTTTAGTTTAAAAAATTTAAGTTCGACCCTGTCTTTGTCTGACTGTTATAAATCTTTTCA